GACTTGGTTACCCTACCCAAGAACATGTGAAATCATTAGCTGACGAATATCAACCAGACTTTTGTACATTAACCGCATCAATTCTTGTTATATGAAAACCTGTCTGTACCATGAATCATTTCTCAGCCCATAAGATGATTGTCGTAACGCACCCTTCGTAACTTGCGCCAATTGATCGCTTTGTACATTCCATCTTTAAGAAAACAATGAATCTTGTGAAATGTTTCAGTAACTTTATACCGTTTTCAGAAAAAAATATGTTGCTAATCTTAACATTTTGATCTTGCCTGTAAATTGGCATGTCTCTTGTAACATGTTTGTTATTTGAGAATAAATTATTATTATTATTATTATTATTATTATTATTATTACTCTCCTAGAGTCAAACATAAGTCCTCCTCGACAACCACATCCGAATCAACCATTTTTACACTTTATGAGTATTGATTTGGAATACAAAAGACTGCCCAAAGTTGTAGTATGGGAGCTGTGTAAGTTTCAAAAACACACATTCACTGAATTGAATAAGAGTTCATAGTTTTTATCTAATCTGATACTCACATTTGCTCTCAAGCATGGTATTTTCTAGTTATTCATCTCCAAGCGTTAATATGAAAAGAGGCTCACCGTATAATTAGAAAATTGTTTTTAGAACACTGACTCGAGGCTTCAGTCATGTTTCAGAGAAATATTGTTGGTCATCTGAGAAAAGTTCAGGAAACTTTGGTGGGGATCAAACCGCAACTGACTATGATCACCATTACAGCAATCACGAACATGTCACTGAGAAGGTAAAGAATATATTTGCAGGCGATTTCGTGATATCGAAAGAATACCGAAATCGCGCCAGAAAAGAGGGATGAAATTACGGAGATGATGGAGCAAAATGGCAGCAACACAGTCCGAAAGTTCACGCGTAAAGAATGTTATAAATAAAAAGCGTACTTGAGCAATCATTGGTACTATTGGTTATAATAATGAATGTTTCTAATAAACCACTCGTGTAATCTGCATAAAAGTAGAGTTGTAGATTTATTTCGACAGTGGCTGTCCCAATTGTTTCCTATAGAAACACTCCTGTACGTTCCTCCTAGTTCCGGGTCCCGACCAAATCAAAAAGGGCTAAATTCTAGGAGAAAACGTCTCTATATTATTATAAAATGGAAATACAAAGTCTTACGGAATTTGTGTTCCTTCCAGGGTTAAATTACTCCGCAGAGTATCCAACACAATAACTAGTAAGTGACACTAAGTCCAGCAGCCACCGCGTCCATCCAAAAATGTGGCGGTAGCCATATTATATCAAATTTAAACAATATATGTACAGTTCAGAAGCAAACACAAAAACTTCAATATAAGTACAAATATAGAAAGAATAACAATATACAATGATAAAATCTCAAATTGGAATCAAATAAAATACCAAAAATGTCAAGAGAAAAAGTCCATCATGTCATAGCAAAAATATGTAAACATGGAGGGATTTTCCAAAAAACAAAACATTCAAAAAGAATTCTACAAGAGTCACTACATCAACTCTCGGCTAGAAAGGATTTACACTTTTGATAGTAGCGGTTTTGTTCGGGAGACTGATCTGCAAACGTGCGGAGGCCTGGCGAACAGGAAGCCATCCGTGAAACTCGAGTTGTCACCGAAGGACGTTCATGAAGGTGCAGGTAGTAACGTGCCGTGTTTATTTCCTGAGTTAGCGTACCACACCAGTGTGGCTCGTATACAGAGACCAAAGATTGCGTTAGTAGTGTTTTGGTCCAGAAAACGCCGCAGACATAGGACGGAGCCAGATTGAGTGAGAAAACTAGAAACGACCATATCGACCAACACCAAAACCAAACAAATACCAGACATGTTCGGAATCAATACATCGACTGAATACATTGACAAAAGCGTGGGTGGTCAGGCTAGCTTTCGCCAAGATTGGCTGAAGTCGACGGTACCAACAGGGTAATGGTCGTAGGCGTGAGCTCAGGTTAAGAAAAATCAAAAAAATAAAAGGGGTAGCATGTACGTAGTAAGGTCCTACAATGTATCCGTTTTGATTGAGATATTAGTCGCGAAAACATGCAGGTAGACATACCTGGAGACCTGGGCGTGATGCAGTGGTGTCACAAGTACCTCTTGAGCCTGCTATCTCATCTGAATTCAAGGGAGGCGTGGTCTGTTGATCTTGAAGTCAGACCGGAGTCCCATCCGTAGATAGTGCAGATGGTACGTGCTGCTGACTAGGACGTGAGAATGACGTCTCTGACGTATCTGGCGTGTGGTCTGGAGGAGATATTAGGATCCCGCTAGGGAGTTGAACGAGTCCAGCATCGAATCCTGATTTTCCGGGAAGAGCACTGTCATTGACGTGTGGTGGTTTGAGATGATCAGCGCTGACCCTGTCGATCAACCTTGAAGGCCTTTTCGTGGCGAGAGATCACGTGAAAAGATCCTTCGTAAGGCTGTTGTAAAGGTGTGGGTACCGAATCTACTGTATGAAGATGTTCGCATCTACGCAGATAGTCGCTGGACGTTACCTGATATACATAAAATCGCTGCTCCGCGGTGTGAAAAATTCCCCAGGCAGATGCAATGTCGTACCGTATAAGTTCGGAGGAGGAACATTGGATATCTGCCGTTGCTGCTCTGTAATCGACGTGTCGTCTCCAACCAAAGCCATCCTTTTGCGAACCGAGTGGAGAGAGGAATTTCAAAAACTCTGAGAAAGACGAAGTAATACATAAAGCAAATAAACTCTCGAACTCACGCTCAGCAAAAACTCAAGTGTCCAGTGCCAGTCGGCGAAGTCTAGCCGTAACTGGAGGTCTGCAGGTGACGATGTGGCTTACCACATTATTAATCAATGATAGCTTCTCCTCGGTTTCGTTACTTTGGTGAATTTATCAGATATAACAATAATTCAAAATATATATTGGTGATTCGGTATATACCCGTTTGCGCGTTAAAACCCATGTATTTGGTACTCGACGAGGTATCGATTAACTGCACCCTACGTGTGTCGAATAGCAATTCATAGAGCTGTAGGAAATCGATACCGAGTATGGCTGTTGGAACATCAGCAGAGATGAACGTCCACAGAAACTGTCGTCGAGTATTCAGGTTGATCGCTAGCTTTAGTGTTCTGTAGGTAGGGATGACACAGCCATTCAGAGAATGTGGTCGAAGAATCGCAACCTGAGACTTACTGCTACCAGATGGAACGTCAGAAACTTGGGCACCTGTAGCCACAAGGTACCTAGCGTTAGTGCGAAAATCTTGCACGAAAAATAAACGAGCAACCTAAGGTGACGGAAGGGAGACAGGCCAAGATGCACTGACCTGCTTCTCGGAGTCTATTATATTATAGCTATCCACTACTTTGAAATGTTGTTGCAGGCACAGTATATAATAAAGGAACATACATAATAGTAATGAAACATGATAAAAATGGTGATAATTGAATAATAGACTCACCGGAATTGAGTGCTTCAGACGAAACCTCAGGTCACCAATTTGTAGTGGCGTTTGAGCCGAGACTGACCACAATTAGCTATGACGGGCCAGTCACAGAAAAGATAAACAAATTAATGTTGAAGAATATACTTGCTGGCGAATTCGTGGTACCGAAGGAATACCGAAATCGTGCAAGAAAAGAGGGGTGAAATTACATAGATGGTGGGGCTAAAATGGTAGAAACATACTGAATTCTACCATTTGTATTGAATGATTTTTGTTGATGTGAACACGGATCACCCGTGTGGTCCTTAGGTTAAACTGTCAGCCGTCGGTCAGCGCAATGAATTTCAGTCTGACTTGTTAAGCGCTAGTGGAGAAACATTACGGCCGAAGTATCTATTTATTTCCTTATTTGCGTAGGTACTATATTTTATATTATTCAGTACTGAAAGCCCAATGGCTCGTGTTTTAAATAAGAATGTTGTGTCTGGTAAGTCCAATTTCTTGTTGATATACCTAGTCCAACTACCGAAGAGCATTTTAATATCAACTGAACTAGAAGTCTAATGCTACCTATCAGCTTATATTGAATTCACACCTGATCTGCATTAGTTTTCCTCACTAGTTACCAAACACATGGAACCGTGCCGAAAGAACAAGAATCGAGCGCAAAGAAATCAATTGGTTTATACTTGCTCGTGAAAAGGATATTGGATACTGAATACTAAGCTATAGAAAAAACTGAGTGAGCTATCGACCGCTGAAAATAACAAGCTATGACAAAGAAAACAACTGTTTCTCTTGTGCCTTCACACTTCACATAACGTTTAGTGAACAGTTTGTTTATTTGGGTCCAGGGAAGCGAAATCTTTATGAAGGCAAGAAACAAGATGAAACTTTAAATAGATGTCAGTAGGTTACCTCAGGACGTACAGTGACACACGAGTTGTTAAATAGCTTATTATATGCAGAGTCTTAAGAATCTTGCCATTTCATCGAATGTGTAATCAAAGTGCGTACATTTAAAAGAACACTGACTTCCATTTCAATCTTCTTTTAACAGAGGTAACATACAAGTATCAAGGGGGTGTCAACATGGAGGCGCTAACTTAAATCAGGCCAATCAACCAAATATATGCTAATGGGTTTAGTGCATTTTCTTTACGGGTGGAAATTTCCAGCTCAGGATGTACTGATCTCAACAATTAGTAACTTAAGGATTGCAGTTGAAAAGCAGTGAGTACGGAAGGCAAAATTTTCGGTAGTCAATGATATGTTCTTTGAAATCTAGGCCTTAATAGGTGTGAGTGATAACCCAAACAGCGATGAGCAGACTAAAGACTAGACTTCTTACCGTTTATATTAGAACAGTATACATATGGTCAGAAAATAGTGTTTTCCACTGCAGCTAAATGTAAGGAACACAAGACCTGTTGTTTCAAAATGTACAAAAACTAGCTTTTCTTGTAGAATATGGAAGGATCATAGTAAAACATACAAAGTTTACATTTAGACATCTCTTGGCTGTTTGTTTAAATGGGCACCCGTGTCGTACTTAACCATTTAAATCCAAGGCCAGCTATGGTGATAAATACCTTCTGCACTCTGACACATTTGCTACATGCCTTTCGTAATAGTTAATGGGCACACAAAAATTTCCAAGTAAAGAATAAAAGGTGCCTCAAACTATGGGAATTTGCCTGTGCCTTCAGAGGAGACCGAAACAAATTCAAAGCGATAATGGATCGCATTATTACCTAGGTTCGAACCCACCGGCTGCAAACAATCTGACGAAATATATCTGTCACCAAACTCCTGAAGTTACAAACAATGGAACTACTGCTGACATTACTCCGACAAACATGAACCAGGTGACACTGTACAACTTCGGTCATAAAAATTCTCTCGCCCTTTCGAGGAATGTTGTGACTGATATGCATATGGCCTGTGTAGCTGCTCAAAATAATGCAATTACACCAGCAATTTCCACCGTTTCTCCAGTTGGACCTGGAGTTCAGCCTAGACCTTTGGTACAAGTTCGCGCTCTCTATTCTTATCAGGGACACAATCAAGATGACCTCCCGTTTCAGAAAGGAGATATAATGTTTGTAGTATCTGGTATGTCTGATGCGTGGTGGTTTGCGAGGCATGCGGATACTGGAATGAGTGGTTATATTCCTAGTAACTACGTCTGTTTGGATGACGGACTTCCAACTAGCCTGGATGCTTGGTATGACATAGGTCGTCGTGAAGCTGACCGAAAACTGTTATTGGTAGGCAACCCGAAAGGAACCTACCTCATTCGACCTAGCTCGGGTGAGTTGCTGAGATTTTTTTACACTGCATGGTAGTAGTTCTCGTATCCCATTTCAAATGATTATCATTCTGGATTAGTTGTATCTCTGATATGTAGAACCTGAAAGATTACCATTTAAGTCTTTTTGTAAGTAACTAGATGTGCACACTTAGCCTTGTAATTTTTCTGTAGTCATTAACTGAATAGAAATCCTGGCCATTTTTCTATTATTTTGATGTACGCACTAGAATAGTATGCATATATTTTTATCAACAAATGGACGCGTAGTTAATATAATAAGTGACGCAAGTTATAATCCAACATCTCATCAAGGTTGATAAGAATCCTGAGGCGAATTAAGTGATTGGCTATTATATCTACTCCTTTCACTATCTTTGGACCAGGCGTTAACGATGACAGATCCTGAAATAAATCATGCATTCTAAAAGGAATACATCTCAAACATTCACGCATACTCGGCGATCAGATGATTGTAATTTGTCAGTACCTTCACTAAACAGGATGTGTTTTAGCTCTGAAAGTAAATCTCGCAGCAATTAGTCGATTGTAAAAGCAACGAATAGTAAATCCTGAATGGTAAGTAACAAACTTTCTGAAACACGGTCGCAATACTCCCTCAATAATGCAGATGACCATTTCGTGGTCGTGCGCCTACGTAGCATATCTCATTTATTTTTCTGATGCACTTAAAACAGCCGGACCGAAAAATCTCGTTGGGTGACGAAGACATTAACTGTCCCTAATCGTCCCAAATAGTAAAAACTTCATAGTTTGAAACTCACAGGCTAGTTACAGTCGTTAACTGACGTAATTCAATGGCCTTTGGAAGGATGATGCATTGATTCGGTTTCTTCAAACAGAATTATTTCACTCTTTACATACCTATTTTCTGTTGAAATGTATTTCAACCTAGTTGTTTTATCCTTTGACAGTTGTATGAGTCTCTGGTTTCTGATATGACGCAGAGATTTATTAGTACACAAACTTTAGGCCAGATCTCTATTAATTACTGACTACAATCTCTTTACTTACTGCCTAGTATCACACACCTAATATCCTGTGACATGCTAGATCAATTTCAAAACAGAGTTTTCATCTCAGGGACGTGAGACATCCCGAAAATTTCTGCTGCGTCACATAATAGTAGAGGTTGTAGCTGTGTCAGCAGTAATGGAAAAGATTAAGGATCAAAGATATTATTCAAGAAGTATAATTCAGTAAGCTAAATTTAAAAAAGAAAACGGCCATGAGGAATTTAGAGTAGAATTTCAGAAATGACGAAGAATGGATGCATCTGTGCCATTGCAAGCTATTTTAAGCCGTCATTCAAAGTCTTTGTACGCCAGTTATGATCGTCTTGGGGACCCCAACCAGGTAATCAATACCTACGAACGTGGCTCAGCCCAGTTGCCAACAACTTCTTGGCTTTGTTCCATGTTTTGGTTTGGCCACCCCTAGCTTTCTTCCATCCCTCATTATGGTTAGTAATTAGTGATCTTAGACGCTAAATTTCATGACTCAATCGGTTATAGCTATTCATTTAGCGTTGTGCCCCCCCCTTAGCCGAAAAATTCAGCATCATCCTACAGTCTAATAGTGGCAATTGTCTACACACCTCTAATAGTCCTCAAACTCACTGTAGATTTTAAATAATTTAACGAGGTATTACTAATCCCAAAAGGTCTAGGACTTCGAAAAGACGCAAGCAAGAACTTGGATTCTAAGTGAGCAGTAGAAAATTGTATTGCATTGTTACATCATATCTAAAGAGCATAAAATATTTAAATATACAGTGATTGTGCTTGTTATTCTCTACTATGATCTTGTTTACGAATAAACTCTTCCTTAAGATATTTAATTAATATTTCATAACCGATAAAAGTGATTTTATATCATGTGTTCACACTGTTGAATGTGTAACTGTGTACATTCGATATCTTCCTGAACTTCGTATATCGCTGTCCTGACGACCGTTACTACAGTACGCGAGTCGTAGCTACATGTCGTTGCGGCCATCAGACTCTTCGACCATATATAGTCGTTACTGAACTTCCCTTGTTGCTATCACTAATGGTTGGAACTCGCGTTTCAGTGGGTTTCAAGGGATTTGTGTTTATTAGCTGGTCTCCATTTTCGATAAAAGCTGGTTTGACTCGGTCGATGCTAATTACATCCGTTTTTCCAGCTTCTTCTACCGGACAGTTTTATCATTTCTTCTGGTTACTTTAAATGGACCATCGTAGATCTGTTGTAAAGGATGTTGCACATTATCCCTTCTGATAAATACATGGTTACTGTCGTCCAGTTGCTTCGGAATGTATACTCGATGTTGGGTTTTTTCGGGAGCGTTATTCTTAGGTCACTCGTGTTATTTTAGACGATGTACGTAGTTGGCTACATCAGTTGGAACACTTTTACCTGAGATGAGAAACTCTCCTGGTAGACGTAGAGTAGTTCCATAAACCAGCTCTACAGGGCAACTTCCTATATCTTGTTTAATTGTCGATCTTAAACTCAATTTGACTATTAGAAGCTTGTTGGCCCAATTTTTGTTGTTAATAACAGTTGTAAGGGACTCTTTAGGCTGACGGTGTAGTCTCACTACCGTACCATTCGCCATTGGGTGGTAGGATGTGCGAATACGTTTGATTCTGAAAAGTTCCGTAAGTTGTTGGAGGAGACTGTCGAATTGAGCTCCTCTATCGGTTGTAGTGTTAACAGACACATAATATGAGATGCATTGCTGAACTAGGGTTTTGGCTATAGTCTCTACTGAAAAATGTCTTTTATGGGTACCGCTACAGGCCATCGCGTACATCTGTCGGTATACGTAAAGATATAACTGAAGTCACTTGAAATCGGAAGTGGTCCCACAATATCGATACTGAATCTGCTACTTCGTTATTATGGCCTTTAATATATTGTATGCTAGACGTGAATTAGGAAACAAATTCCAGTTGTCGAATTTCTCTTGGCGAATGATTATCCTGCTTGGCGTTTAATGCTTTCATGAAGGGTTTATGATCTGTGTACACTGTGAAAATGGTACCCTCGAGCATATGTCGAAAATGCTTTATTGTCAAGTAAATTGCTAGCAGTTCTCTTCTGAATATATATACCTCGTTTGAGTATGAAATGAAATTGGTTCTCATGTGTCATTTACGACCTGCTGTAATACGGCTCCAACAGCCATGTTCGATGTGTCAGTCATGATGTCTAGTGGTGCTTATCTCTTTCGTCGTATTAACATTGTCTTCTCATTTAGTACACGCTTAGCATTCTCAAATGCCCGTATAGCGTCTGCTAATAAATGGAACGTCCAAGCACGTCCCCGCATCTGACTGACTGACTGACCGCAAAGCGTCCGTTAAAGATTGTGATATTGCGCAGTTCGAAGTAAATCGTCTATAATAGTTGATTAGCCCCAGTAATCATAATTCATTTTGTGATTCGGGCAACGGATAATCACGAAAAGCTGCAAATTCTGCTGGAACTGGTGTGATACCTTTAGAATTTATCGTGTCCTAGGAATTGCAGTCATTTTTAAATTCATACTTATCAACGTTAATGGCAACACCATGTTCTTGTAGTTTATTGAACAGCCGTCTTAATTGTTGTAGATGTTCTTCCGCTGTAGCACTAGCTACAACTATGTCGTCCATGTATACATATGCACCTGACAAACCTCTAACGACCTGGTCGATGAATCTCTGGAAGGTTTGAGCTGCGTTAGTTAATCCGAAGGGCATTCGCAAAATTTCAAATATCTCAAATGGAGTGATTACAGCCATTTTTGGTATATCGTGCGTCGCCAAGGGAATACGGAAATAAGCCCTAACAAAGTCATTCTTTGAAAAGATCGTGGCGCCTTCCATGTCGTTAGTAATGTAGATTTGTGGTGCCGGATATCTATTTGCTAATTTGTTTAATAATGGCTCTATAATCTCTACATGGTCTGTCTTGTCCATTCCTTCTTTGTTTCATGTAGAATAGGGATGCCCAGGGACTACTAGATGGCCATATAGTAGCAAGTTTCATCATTTTGTCGAATTATTGTTCTGCTGTTTTTAACCTTTTTGGGTTCTACGTTGCTATTGATTGATTGATTGAACCTTTTTGGGTTCAACCTTCGTGGTCTTGGGTTATAAGGTGCATCTTTCATTACTATGTGGTGTTGCACTGTGTGTTTGAGATCATCACTGTCGTATGACACCCTTGTCAAGTCGGCGTATGGTTTAGAAGCGACTTATGTAGGTCGTTTTTGTCTCTTGACACTACTAAATTCATCGATAACTTGTCAGTGATTATTCCTCGTATAACCACTGTACGGTCTCTGTTCAAGAACTAGTTTCGTTGGGAATCTACTGGTAAGTCGAAATTTTTTATTAAATCAATACCGATTATAAGCACTGACAAACTCCCAGCGAAGTGAAGTGTTCCGACTGAAATTCATGGTTAACTTTCACCTTCCATATGTTTTTGTCAGATTTATTTACTGCTTCAAGCGTCAATTAGGCATTGATATTTCGTCTTTCATCGCTGATAGGAGACATTACGCTTATTTCTGTCCCTGTGTCGACTAAGAATTGAGCACCCGTCCTTTGGTCGTGGACGTAAAATAAAAACTGTTTTTAGCAGCTAATCCAGTTGTCGAAGTCGTTACTGGGAACTGGCTGAACCGTTTCCCTGTTGTAATAATTTGAATCTGCATGGCGGTCTACATTTCCCAGGTGTGATGCCATACGTCTGGTGATACCAACATATCGTGCGAGCTGAGCGTCTCTTAGAGTCTGATCGATATCGTTCGCGTGATCTACTCCGTGACCGTTTTTGCGGTCTTTCGTTCTTATTCAGCCTGACCAGCTTTTGGCACAAATTACTAATCTCTGTTTTAAATCGTTGATTTCATCACTGTGGTGTGATGCATCTGTTGACTCATCATTTTCGTTCTTTCATGAATTCTATCGGTTATTTTTTCTATGTGATCTATGTCCTCATTTCTGCCCCCGAATGCAAGGATCCGTTGAACATTGTGGGGAAGTCGCCGGAGACACAACTGATAAATTATACGGCTGTTTACTTTCCTGTCTCCGATCAAACTTCTCATGTAGTTCTTCAGCTGAGATGGAGTCCTATCGCCTATTTCCACTTGGTTGAGAAGCCGGTCAAGGGCCCGTTGGTCGATCAAAGAGACGGCTTCTTATACGTCACATGGCCTTTCTGCATCCGGTTTAGCTGGAAAATCGCGTACATTGTTGGCTACTTCATTGGGAAACATTGCGTTGCGTGGCCGAATTTATCTCGTAAACTAAAAAGTAATTTTAAAGCCAATAAACCAAAGTTGTTGGTCGGTGACCCTAAAACAAGGAGTAAATAGATTAAGGGATCTCACGGACGCCATCTGTGGAAGTCTTAGTGTATCGTTATCTGAAGACATTCATATACAATGAGTGGCACATAAGTGAAGCCCTATATATATATATATATATATATATATATATATATATATGGGAAGAAAATTAACGAGACGTTAATAATGCTGATAACAAGCGAAAAAGTGTTATAAAACAAAACGGACTTACTAAACCGTAGCAGTATAACAATTGTATGTATAATGTTGTTACTTGTGACTGTTACTATTGTCAAAATATCCTCAACCATGTTTATGAAATAATTAACGTGTAGTGGAAATACGATAATGGTAATCTGCAATAGTAATTATAATCCACAGTAATGAATAGAATAGAGGCGGAGACGTATTCAGTTCTTTAGTCGGGCTCAACACTTATTTGGCGGTGGGCATTTGATATGTTCCTGTGACGACCGTTATTACAGAACGCGAGTCACCGCCACAATTTCCTTATTATTCAAAATATATGTCTGATACAAATATCGGATTTAATACAAATATATGTAGTCCATATTGCCATTGAATTATTTAAACGGTTAATCGATGTGCGTAGGTGGTAAGCAGTGCCCTAGCATACATGCGCATACAATCTCAACATTGATGAAATTACAAAATGTATATGAGGTGTTACATTACAACGAATTCGATATAATAAGAGCACCATGAATTACCTCACAAAAATAGCATTATCTGCCTGTCTGTTACTCCTGATGGAGCATTGGCGGCCGACCAGCATTCTCCAACCAACTGTCTCCTAAGCTTGTTTTTCCAATTCTACTCAATCGCTATTCATTCTTTTCATATTTGTCTACGATTCTCCTCGGTCTACCCCTTTTCCGTTAGCCTTGAGGATTCCAAGTCAGGGCTTGCCTCATGATGCAGTGGTGAGATTCCCGCCATATGCGTTCTATCCAGCTCTAGCACTTTTTCCTCATTTCCCCTTCAGCTATAATTTGCTTTATATTCTTCCACAGTAGTTTGTTGATGATGGTGTCTGATCAACGGATCCTCAGCATCGTGCGTAGATGACTGTTAATAAACACCTGTATCTTGTGGATGATGGCTTTTGTAGTTCTCCTAGTTAACGCTCCAAACAATAAAACAGTTTTGACGTCCTTATTGAAAATCGTAACTTTGTTGTTGGTTGAAAGTTGTTTTAAGTTCTAGATGTTCTTTAACTATGGAAATGCTACCCTTGCTTCACTAATCCGTTTCTTCACGTCGTTATCAGATCCACTTTGTTTATCAATGTAAAGGTTTCCCACATTTTCCAATGATTCTCCGTCAAGTGTGATTTGGTTGGTGCATGTTGTGTTGTATCGAAAAATCTTGCTTTTCCCTTTATATATGTTGAGACCTGTTGCTGCTACCCTGGTCGCCTTCTCTTGCATTTGTTGTTGCATTTGCGATAGAAGAGCCAGATCATCTGCATTCTAGATCGTGCAGTTGCATCCCAGTTGTCCACTGTATCCTGTGATTCCCTCCAGATGTTGACGTCTTCATAATCCAGTCGACCACAAGGAGGAAAAGAAAGGGTGAGAGTAGGCAACCTTGCCTGACACCGGCCTTCACTTGACATGAGTAAGTGAGCTGTCCTCTTTGCACGGCCGTTCACTTTAATCCATCACTAGAGTTTCATATGATGTTGACTATCTTTTCAGGCACACCGTAGTGTCGAAGAAGTGATGAGTTCCATGCAATAGATTGGTTCACTATGATCCGAGGTGTTGTGATCTGGTTGGCGCATAACCGATTCTTACGAAATCCAGCCCGTTTATTTGAAAGTTTGGCACCGACTGAATCTTTCATTTGGTTCAACAACACTCTGTTAATGACGTCCTGGTACTGATATTAGTGTGTTACGTATGTGGGTCTCACTCTTATCAGGATTTCTTTTCTTTGGTATCTTGATGATGTATCCTTCTTTCCAGGCTGTCGGTACTTATTCTCCCTCCCAAATCTCGCTGAAAATAGTGTGGAACATCTTTTCAGTTGCTTCTATTTCTGATTTTAGTGCCTCAGCTGGTATGTTGTGTGGTCTTGTTGCTTTGTTTGTTTGATGACCGTGCTGATTTCTTCAATTGTTAGCCGGTTAACGTTAATTGGAAGGTCTGTAGGTGCTGCTTTGAAGACCGATATGCTCAGGTGGGATGGTCTATTCATCTACTCCTCAATTTGTTCTACCCGTCTATTCTGCTGTTTTTAGGTCCCGGTTATTAGTTCACCTTCCTTCGTGACTGGTTCTGATTTATTGTATTTCTCAGCTAGCTTCTTCACTGTACTGCATAATTGCCTCGTGTTTCCTTCTCTTACAGCTTTTTCCGGTGTCATTGCTAGGTCCTTCATGTATTTTTACTCATCAGCTTCAATACTCCTCTCATTTGCATATTTGCTTCTGTGTTCGGCTGTTATTGATTACTGTCTTCTTGCTCTTCCCTTCTTAAATCTTGTCCAGGGTATCAACGGAGATCCATTCTTTGTGGTGCTTCATGTAACCCAGTACCTCGTGTCATATTGCAATTATTGTTTTTTAATCTCTTTTCAGTTTTTATCCACTGTAGTTTCCTTTTGTAAGGCTGATTGTAAAGCCGATTGTTGAAAACTATCTTTAATTCCCTGAATTCGATAATATCTGTAAGGAGGTGCATACTAAATTTATGTGATACTGTTTCTCCAGTTGTCCAGTGCTTATTTAGCTTCGGTTTCATTTCAGCCCCCACCGGGTGGTGATCTGAAGAGATATCAGTCCTTCTCTTTATTTCCACGTTTTTCATGGACCTTCTGGACTTTCTGTGATGCAGGTATGATCAATCTGGTTCTATATCATGTAGTCCGGTGAAACGCATGTGGCTTTGTGTATGCATTTGTGGGTGAATAAGGTAAGACCTACATCCGTTTTGTTGAAGGCACATAGATTTGCGAATCCCTTATTAATTTCGTTCTTTCCTCCCAGTCCGTGCCTTCGTATGATGTCTTTATTTTCAGTATTGTCCATTCCAACTTTGACTTTCAGATGTTGCATCATAATGGTCAGTTCATTTCTTGGACATTTCTCTGCAATTGAGTACAGGCTCTTATAAGACCGATCTTTATCGCTTTCCTAGCTGTCACTGGTGTGACGCATAGCCTTATATGATATTTATTATAATCCTCTTCTATTTCGTTTTGAGGTATGCTTTGATAATCTTTGGTCCATGAGATTCACATCCTATAAATGCTTTCCTTGCTTCTTTTTACGACAGTGCGACATCTTGTGTGTTCAAGGCGTTTTTCTTCCTAATGACCTCTCCCAATCTAATGCTTTTTGCCAAGCTTGTGTCTAGTAGGTTTCGCTCATTCTAAGCACCTCCAAATTGTATCTTCCACAGTAATTTGGATGGTCCTCCCTGTCTCAAACATTGTACGGATATTCCATGTACTTGTGTTAATCGCTGCTGTGGTTGTCTGAATGGGTATTGACTCCATGACTTTCTAAGAAGTTCGACCTTCATTATGAGGCATCATAACTTTTTTATCTAAAGACCCTTCTATTCCCACAGCAGAATTTAGATGTTTTAAATGAATTGTTATGGTTACCACTTTTTTTGTCATGTTTTTTTCCACGATATGGACTTGCTAACCCCCAGGTCCAACCCCCCTTTATCCGAACTGGAGACTGGCAGTAACTCTAGAAGTGCTCCCGGCGGAGTCACTCTGCCATATACTCGAACTACTTTATTTTGCCTTCAATGTAGTTTTCGCAAGCTAGGTGCGACCAGACAAAAACATGGCGAAAATCCATGAAGTCACTGACAAGTGGACTAAGTCATGTTGGTAGGTGTCGAATACCTGCTTGGGGTCCGCGAGATGATAGTAATCGATGGTTAGAAACCCTGAATGACATGACTTAAACCGTTTGCATTGGCTCAGGTGCATTCATTCCTTGTGTTCTCTCAAATCCTAAACTTCCTAATTCCTCATCACTTTGTCTTTTTCTTTTTAAGTTTACTTCACTAAATTCTACTGCTTGAATAATATCTTCGAACCCTAATCTCTCCGATTACTGCTGGTACCTTTACCACCTCTACTACTATGGGATTTGAAGTTACAATAGCATCTGTGAGCTAATGTGGTATAGCAACTAGAGCTGATGTACGTACGTACGTACGAAGTTCTACGTTTCTGTTGATTGATTGTAGTTTTCACAATATCGTCATTTTTTCACTTTGTTCTTCCTGTCTATATTTCCCTTAGCTTTTCAAAATCCCTGTAACTTGGCTGCCATGTTAGCACTAGCGGTCTACGCCTGTAGTGTAAAACTTAATGGTCAATTAATTAAATGGGTTCTCTTATATCTTGTTTTCTGTATGATCATCATCTGTTTCCGTTTTTTTTTGATTATTTTCATCTAGAAACTCAAAATTATGCACTTTCTGTTCGACATTATGACTCAGAAAAAAATATGTGGGTTGTAAAGCACTATCGCATTCGGATACTTGATAACAATGGTGGCTTCTTTATTAGTATTCGCACAACTTTCCCGAATATTCAAGACCTCATAAATTATTATACAGGTATAATACTTAGACATTTCATTTGATTTTATTTTTATGAGTTGTTGTCAATCAGTCAGTTAGTTGTAAACAGTATTATGTTATTTAGATAATTATTTTATCTGTACATGTCTGTACGGTTTTTATTTTGATTATAGTTTTTAGGATATACAATCATGTTGTTAATTCACCATACTTTATTATTTGTTCAAATGTAATTTAAATATTGTTTTGGTAGATCAGCCTCTTGTAGAAAATTCAGTGGGATACACGAGCGATTTATTAATTTTTAAGTTTTATGAATTTGAAATAGTGTTATATGAAAACAAACGTCAGAGGTGATTATTTCCGTTGAAGCATAGGCTTTACTGTGTAAAAATTCATTTGAATTAAATAATTCCGTGAGTGTATGATCAAAGTGTTTTAAAGAATACTAAGACATTAAATATTAGTAGTCTATTATGAATTGAGGTAAACAAAATGTCTCTGTAAGAATAAAGGTGTAACTCCTAGAATAACATATGAAATACATTTGAACTTTGTGAATGACATGACCATCTACCCCCGTCTAATCATTATGAAGTTGATGTAACTAATGCCAGATATGTTAGTCGAAGCTATAGGCTTGACTAATACTTCGATAGTTATGTCGTCGTGAACAGTCATTTAATATGAAAAGCTTTCATAGTAGCGTATTATAGTTCAGCCTACGTATGGTAGTCACATTAACTACCTGTCTGGTGGATTAAGTAACGCTGTTTATAAATAAGTTTTCTTCTACTGGATTATCTGTTTTATAGAATCAATAAAATGTCAGTATCTTAGATGTTAATTTGTTCAAAACACTAAAGAATGCATTGACATTTTGGGAAAAGGAAATTTTCAAATTATTTTTCATAGAGTCATTACTTCCAGTCAGTTTTTAGAACATTTTTTTTTCATCCACTTAACTATTTTGTAAACATTTTATTGTATAGTGCACCCAGATGGTTTATGCTGTCGGTTGTCTATTCCATGCCCACGTGCGTATCGTCCGCCAGTGCAATTTCGTGATTTTGAAATTAATCGTGATAGCATAACAAGAATTCGAAAATTGGGTCAAGGTACATTTGGAGAAGTATATTTAGCTAAATGGAATGGTTCAGTTGAAGTTGCAGTTAAAATGCGGCTGGATCCTACAGATCGTAGTCGATTTATTGAAGAGGCACGCCTTATGCATGCTTTTCATCATCCACGTATTGTTCAACTTTTGGGCGTATGTACTGAACCAGAAGATCAACCAGTTTATATTATTACTGAATTAATGCGTAAAGGAGCTTTATATGATTTTTTGCGAACAGAAGAAGGGCATAAATTAACTTTGGATGATTTGATTGACATAATGGCACAGGTGTGATATTATTTTGTGCAATCAATTTACTTTGGTTACTCTAATTGTTTACTATCTTTTATAGGCTAAGTATGGTATTTTGTTGGTTTCTTTCTACTAACTTATCATTCCCGTTTCATTCAAACAACAATAAAGGTCTATTAGTACAATGATAAACTGTCAGAAAAGATATGCTTAATGTTGAAATATTTACCGGTGAAGATTTCATAGGTGAGCGTTCAGTAACAATCTGGAATTTGGTTCGTCAACACATCAGGATCCTAAATCTGGGATTGCATTTCTGATACTTATGTAGAGTAGTGACTTAGGAGTTAATCTATTTAACGTTCAACTAATAGCTTCAACCCCACTTAATCTAATCAGTTTTAGAAGCCCAGATAATATATCTAAACCTTACAGTTGTGATTCAAAGCCTAGTGCATAGATATGTATATGGTATTTGACAAATTAATTACACATGTAATATTTATCCATTCGTGAATAAAACATTGTCCTATTTACGTTTAGTAGAGTCATATTAGAAGTATTATCATCGACTGTTTTTCACTGAACTTAACATACAATCTATCTATAAGTGTTATTTTATATTCCATTACACAATGATAAAGTCGAATTGTCTTATTTTTGTATTATATCTACTTGACATTAATTATTTTCTTCCATGAGACAATGTTTTCCAATATCTGACATTGAAATAGTATATAAATTTAAATAATATATAGGAAATCATGTTATATTTTGTTATGTTAGTTGAATTTAGGTATATAAATATCAGAATAGAGGGTCATTTTTCCAATGACTACTTTATACTAGTATTTCCCGTAACAATAAACTATGAATTTCCTATTTCGTCTCAAATAGTGACTGGAGAAATTATTGATCTTCATAGTGTACCCACTTCTCTTTGAATCAGTTTCGGTTTGGTGTACTAACTTATATTCTGATAAATGATTAAACCAATAAACATCTACAATTAATCAGTCACTGAGTAGTTACCGATGTTATGTTTGAGTAAGCCTTTCTTAATGCTGATCAAATTATATCAATGAAGTTGCAATTTGACCACCGATCCTGAATGACTGGACATCGCCTGAATGAATGTTGAGATGTTAGATGGTTGACCTGCTGATCCATAGTAGTTGATCAGCACTAAAGGACTAAACAAACAACGCTGACTGATACTCAGTTATTGATCAATTGTAAACATCTTAGTCCTACAAACGAGGTCAGTCTCGGTCTGAATAGCTTGGTGGTAACGTCTTAGACCGTGAGGTTGATTGAGGCCAGCTTGGGTGCCCCAAGGTTCACCAGCTCTATTAAGATTATTGTTATACTTTCCTAGTAAATGCCAAATCGCACTTGTCTATTTCCAACCACCCTAACAGCCAACTTCTGAAGTATGATCTACGTTTGTTTTGAACAAATACGCGTAGTGCCACGTAATCCTCACATGACAATAGTCTACGCCGAATATACAAACTAATACTTATTTACTGAGTTATGCGTAGGTATACACGTTTGCATCTTAAAATAGAGGGTATTCGTACGCTGCTAGTATTCGACGAGGTAGTGAATCCTAATCGACTGAGATCGTTAAGACATTTCATTTCGTATGTTCATCTCACAGCTACCTCAACGCACGATGTCTGATGTAGTAGTAGATTGATAAACCAGCTATAGGTAGTCAAACCAATACAGCATCAGTTCATGAAAACAGTGAGTTTTGAACTGAGAAACGTAACGAGGTGCAAACTGCTAGGTTAGGATTCGCTTAACTATCGTAACCAATGTTTACGGACTTTGAATGGAATGGATCAAAATCGTTCAGGATGGTGCGAATGCAACCACTCTGTCTTCTTTTAGATCCCAAGTTTTCATATTCCTTAATCTTTTTATATAACACTAATTTATATTTTCTCGAACTGTACCTTAGATGCTTAATCTATTGTATTACCATTGATAGTATTACTACCTCTACTATTCTGGGATTCGCTCTAACAATTTTGCTATTCTCAGCAAATCGATATACGCATGCGCCTGGTTCTGTGTTACGTTTGACTGGCTAACTAACTCATTGCATTAATGTTCACTGCTTTTATAATTAATAAGATTTCGGATTAAACTTTATGTTTTCTTTCAATTTCAATTTTACAGATTGCTAGTGGTATGTCGTATTTGGAAGAAATGAATTCTGTTCACCGAGATTTACGTGCAGCTAATATATTAGTGGACCAAGACTATTCAGTTAAGGTGTCAGATTTCGGATTGGCTAAAATTATTAGCGATGATTCTCATGCTGATCCAAGTAAGTCAAACCTGTTTTTTCATTTGCAGTTGTGTACAATTTCCTTTCGAAAGATAAGCTCAAACAGTGCGATTTCATTTTGTTGAATTTTCGCCGTTAAGATAGTTCAAGAAATGCGTTTCTTTTGTAATGATACCTTAACTGATAGTCAGTCATCTAGCTACAACCAGAACATAGTACGTACATAAATCGTTTCAGGTTGCCTTGATACGTTAGCACAGATAGATCTAATTGTTAGTTCAAACCCTTTGGTAGTAGAGGTTGTAGCAGCATTAGAAGAAGTCGAAAAGATTACGGATCGAACAAATGATTCGAGAAGTTATATCCCAGTGAGATAAATTTCAAAAGAGAAAAAGACCGTGAGGAATTTACAATATTAGATTTTGAGAGAAGACAAAGAATGGATGCATCTGCGATATTGCGAGCGATTTTGAGCGATGTCATTTAAAGTTTGTAACTAGTTGTTACGACTGTCTTACGGACCCCAACCGTGTAGTCTACACCTAAAGTGACTCAGTCCATTTGTCAACGACTTTACAGATTTGTTGCATGTTTTGATTTGGCAAGCCCTAACTTTCTTCCAACCTACTCCTACACCAGACAACACTACTTGTCGAGGTAGTTGGTAGTTGGGCATTCGTCCGCTTTCCCTTCCGAAATCGTGACACACCCACGCGTATATAACCACCGCTTGAAAAGTCCTACATACTGATTTCTCGTGGCAGGGTCAAAAGTCCGCTTTGTTGTTTTTTGATAGTTCATATATAAAAGGTTTTTTTATTTTGCCAATTTAATGTTGATATGCAATGGACTTTTTAGTTTATCTGATTGTTGGACTAACTTTTCTTCTTCTTTTCCCTCCCCCATTAAGATACTAAATTTCCCATTAAATGGACTGCTCCAGAAGCGGCTTTACAGCATATCTTTAGCATTAAATCTGATGTATGGTCGTTTGGCATATTGATGTATGAAATTGTCACTTATGGTGGAACACCTTATCCAGGTAAATGATGTTCATCCGAATTTTATGCATTTAATTTGTAAGAAAAAAATAAATATTTTGTTTACTACTTACTGACTTATGTTTACTAGATGGAAAATTTTTTTCCGCATAGTTTACCATATATATATATATATATATATATATATATATATACAGGTTAGTAGTCATCCAGTTGGCGATTATTCATGAAGATATTTGAACAATAGCTTAATAATGGAAAATACTTTTACTACAATAAATTTCACAACTACGTGTCATATCCTTCTGGTTTGTTGATTAATCAAATATAACGATGTTAGTTAATATGGAATGAGTTCACTCATTGTGATTCTTCATTATTCTACTGGATAACATATATCCTTGATGATATAGAATGTGGTTAGCAGTGGAATCCAGGATGTGCATTTCACTCCCATATCAATCAAGACTGATGATATATACACATCCTTAGTGGTGATTATTTAATGTAGGCTCTTCGACAACTACAGATTTGTGGGTCAGATTTTGAGCGACACCTTGTATATGTGCTTGATTTTATGGGGGATTTTGATGAATTTTCTACCGTTTTTAATCAATTATAGTAATATTGTTATAGAAGAAAAGTGTATGGTACAAAAAGAAGGAAATTAACAAGTGTGCTGTGATTTTTAATGAATACGTTTAAATCGTGTGCGTATTGGTTCTTCTGTGTTAAAGTTGAACAATTATTAAACAGTTCAACCCGTAGATTGTTTATTTTCCTTAATGAAATTTACTAACTGTCAATAATCCTTTCCAGTCTATGAGCTGTGACCTCAAGTTCACTATCTCAATCATAATTATTCGTTCATCTGTATAATTAAAACTAACTTGACTATTGAATTCGTAATAGGTGGTGATGCATTTGGAAACCTGAGTTTTCTAACCTCTAATCAACCGATTGTTTATCCATTTACTGGTTTCCAACTTCTTGTTTGAACAAGTACAATTACTAACTGTTCTAGTGTAACCCTCACTCAATGATAGTCTTTCCGATACGATAACTGACTACATTAGTGTGAACAAGGGTTGCTCAATTTTAACCGGACGTGATGGGCATTAATTAATTAATGCTGAGAGTTAGGTATTTTTTCGATAGATTGTATTTCATCTTTAAAATTTAAGCATGTTATTTTACTGGAGAAAAAATCTATTTCTCTGTCAAGTCTTGTTGTTATTTTTAATAATAGTTCATTCGTCGATCTGTATCGATAAGTCAGTCTTGTGAGCAGCTATCACTTGATCACATTGTATCATTTCGTTTCATTTATCACTTATCATTATTCATCAACTACTAAAACACAGGGTATTATCAAAAAGATCTATTTTTTTTCACTCGCACAACTGACCAACGTTTTCTATTAGTTGGTACTATTGCTTGGTTTGACTGTTGTAGAATTTTCTTATTCTACTTCTGACTAAAATGTATTTTCTTATGATGGTGAAATATCTGTAACTTTGTTTTCTTAGTAAAAGTCCATGTACATGTGGAGTTTTTTTTTTCAAATTTATTTATTTCCATTCATTGTTTTTTTTCCTTTCCTTTCAGGAATGACTACTCGTCAAACAGTGACTGAAGTTGAGAAAGGCTATCGATTGCCCTGTCCACATACTGCTGAACATCCTTGTCCTGATGACTTGTACAATCTTATGAGAAAATGTTGGGATGCTAGACCAGAGAATCGTCCTACATTTCGTTCTTTGTATGATGTTTTCGAGAATTGGTCAACACACACTGAGGCTCAGTATCTTGATAATTAGGATGTAATACTTTTCTTTTCCCTCAGTGATCATTCATTCATTTGTATAATCATTCCGAATTCATATAAATATTTCACAATGTGTACATTTCCGGTGAAGTATTATTCTGTTCTGTGTATTCTCGGTTTTTTCTTTATGTAAATATTGAATATTCACTTTTTTTTTATGACCAGAGTGTTTAAGGTGTGTGTATTCTACACTTATCTCCTTATTCTTTTATTAACTACCTCTCTTTGTCATTGATTTTTCTTGCCTTAACATTTTCCATCTTTTATTTTCTGATCTCATGAAAAAAAAAGTAATAGTGTATCCTGTTATACATATATATTTTTCGCGCCACCACATTTACATATATATATATATATGTATAATTGTTATTTGGGTTTTGTAAATCATGTATATCTGCATTTTTGGTATAATTTCTTTCTTATTCCTCTCTTTATCTATATCGTTATGTTATTTTTTATAGACCACCTTTAAATATTTATACTACCAACTGTTTTTTGTTTATGTATGTAATAATATGAAGCATTATAGTTGGCGAATAATTCTGGTATAGAACAATACTAATTACTATCACACTTTATAAATCCAGTGTACTACTTTAGCTCTTTTCTTTTTTTTGCTAATGCCTAGTATATATCCGATGTAATTTGAAAAATATCTTTATTTTACAGCTGTAAACATCTTATTACAAGTATATATATATATATATATATATATATATATATATATATACCTTTTTAACTTGTAAACAAACAAGTCATAGTCAGTATCACTCTACTTTCGCAGTAATATTTGTCAATTCAGCGTGTTTCAGTCCACTTGCTGCAAGCAGAAAGCACACATACTATTTCTCTATTTCTCTCTTTATCAGTTAGTAATCAAGTGAATTAAAATTCTCTATACGTTTTATTTCTCTCAGTAGTGTTTCTTTTTCACAAAAGGTTGTCTTCCTTACTGGTTAAATTGGTTCTTAGATAAGATTTTTACTGTTCATTATGTGCTTATGGTTAAATCTATTTCTTAACTCTGTTATGTAAGTATAATACAAATGAATCCAACATTTTTTCTATGCATAGAATTTCCGCTTTTCTTCTTTTTTTTATGCATAATGTTCTAATCATGCCACCGCTTCTTGCTTATATTTATTGATTATTGTATTTCGACTGCGTGTATTACACCTGGTCTTTCTTTTTATCCAACTAGAATGCGATCTTTGTGTATAGGAATTGCATTATCTGTTCACAACACAATCATAAATAAAATGAAATCTATTAAATTATGTTTAGGTTGGTTGTTATTGTTTTTGGGATTGAATTAACCTGTAAGTTGTATTGGTCATAGACTGATCTCAGTTGGCCTTCTAGCTGGAGATCGAACCCAGGATCTTAAGGTCTCACGACGAATGCGCAGCCATTAGAGTCGCCTAATTGGCATCCAGTGGTATAATCCCAACTTTAACCTGTCACGTTTACATCCTAAACACTATATTAATCTTCACAAAACCCTTTGACTGAACTAAAATAGTTTGCTAATGGATTGCTTCACTATGTTCCTGAAGTTTTGGTGAAAATCAACTGGAGTTCAAGTATGTCGGGAGTGAATCTGTTGTCGTCAATGACATAGGGTATTCGTCATGCTGTCTCATGATTTGGCTGAAGCTTAAATTGTACAATTATACACCGATCCAGTAGTTCCATTAGTTAAGCGTTTATCGTCAGACTTGAACGTCTTGAATCGGATCCCTGATGGGGTCGTGAATACTTACTGCTACGTGACTTTGTGGGTTTTATTGGTACTGCAAACGTTATTTTACTTATTAGTATTTATGAATTCCTACTTTGTATAATTTAGTCGATCCTTTCTTCTTCACATTGTTTATTTCTAAAGGAATTTGAAATTAACAGTTGTTTTTATACATAGAGAGACATTTACATATATTATTTTTTAAATTATTAATATGTTTCTCACCTTAACATACTAGCGAATATGATTTATCTCTTTGTTAGCTATTCCGTTCAAATCATCTATCTTATTCGTTCGATAGGGAATTTGATTGATTGTTCCCACCAACTCGATTTGATAAATGACTTAATAAACTACTCAGTAAATAAATCCGATAGACCCTAAGAGAATGATACAAGTAATTAATGTATTTAGATCAAAATGATTGGTTATCGACAGATAACATTAGGACTATTAAGAGATCAATAACTACGGAACTAAGTACGGGTCACGTAGACCGGTTAATGCTTCTATTCTACTCGTGATATCATGAACTACCGCTCTCAGTTGATTAATGACATCTCTTTATCACCAGTTTACGTTATCTGTTTTCTGAATGCTTTGTTCTCCGATGTGGTTGAACTAACACATGGAATCAGACTATGAAGTCATTGACTGTTAAACCGAGCCACATCATTAGGCGCAGAGTACCTGGTTACGGTGTGTACGATAACCTCAACTAGTGGTTGAAGAGCGATAACTCAAAATCGCTCATAACTACTGAGTAGCGATCATCTAGATCTTGAGTTTTATAATTGTCGCGTACTTATGCCATAAATTCGTTTTCAAACCATATTGTTCGTGCCTAATCTTTTTTATTACCATATCTACTGTTACTAATCTTACTAATTTGTGACTGGACTTAATAATTTTGTTCTACTCTCTCGGCTTTGTATGGTAACTTAAACCAAAGGAAATATGTTGCGTATTACCGACTGACGAACGGAACTTAATACTTAAGCATGTTAATTAATCATAACTTACTTAAAACTGATTAGTAAGTTCTGTATTAAACTGAACCTCGATGATTGCTTACATATATATCGTTCTTTTTTTAAGTTAATCTGATATCCAATTGGCCTCATAATTCATTCAGTGTAATATATGTACCCATAAATAGTTTGACGCCAATTTTCTTAGCCCCAGTTATCGCTTGTTATCTTTAATCATATTATATTATTCAACGCTAAGACATTTGCATTACTTAGTTTCAACTTAAATTCTATTCCTTAGCCTTTCCTCTATAGTTAAATTTCATAGATGAAATTAAATTTGCATGTAGAAATTCACTACCACCACATTTTTTTTATCATGGAGGTTTAAGTAATGCAGATAAAATTGATGAGGATAATCAAAAGAAAAGCTTTAATGTTATGATTAGTTCGACTGACTTCAATCGATCAGCATTAGTTGTGTGGTGCGCACTACTTATAAGTAGTATATGACGCGAGTGTAAACGTAATGTCTGGCAGCCGAAGATGGGGGAAGATCAAGAAAGGAAGAGTGGGAACACAATGGAATTTGTATGAAGCGCATGAATAGTGAAATGTCAGACAATGGATTGAAGATTTGTAAATTAACCACCGTTTACGATATGGTTTTCCTATTTTACTGATTAACTCTGTAATTTTCGTTAAATACATTTCGGTTGCCCTCACCTGTGTTCTCCTTCACTACAGTTGTTATATCTTAACAAGTCAAGTCATTTAATTAAAACCTAGTACATAGATAAACTTTTATAATTATCGCATGTTCACTGTATTTATACGAATATTCGTTAAAATGTGAATAAATAGTTTGATAGAAATAAGGCGCCTGACAGATAGAATACATTGAATATTAAAAAATATATATTTGATTAATCTAAATGATTAAAATTTAATTAATTATATTTCAGCTACTAAATTTTATTTGAACTTCTTCAAGGAGAATATTTAATTTCGGATATCGAGTCATTGGTCTAAAGGCTAAGCATTAGCGCGCAAGACCAAAGGTCCTGTGTTCGATTCCCGCGTGTTTGAGTCGTCGTTGAACACTGTTGATAAATCTCATACTATAACGAAACAGCCATAAAGTACTGTCAGGTTTCTAATGGTAGTCTAACATTGATTGATTTATAGTCTCAATAAAACTCAACAATCTACACAACCCTATGATGATAGTATCAAATTAGAATTTTTATTAAACGACATTCAGATGGATCGACAATCAAAAGCATCCATTCCATCGGTACGTTAAGAATAGATTGATTAATCACGCGACCAATAATCAACAGAACTAGATTGTTAAAATGATTACAAGACTAAATGAAAGTAATCCACACCTGTGGATTGACTGAAAAGCCCACTTCTATATGAAATAGACTTTAGTGATATTGTCCAGGATGTAAATCAAAGTTTCTTGATTAAGTCATCTAGTTCAGTTAAACGCATTATCACTGAACGCATTCAGTAAAGATGCAAATCCCCATCACTATAAACCATTAAGTGCTAATCCAGTGGTCTGAAGCTAACGTCCTCAATTGTACACTATGCAGAAGCCTTGTTATGTGATAAAATAGCTCTCCAATACCCTGTTTCTCAACGGTTGGCTAGATGATTTCAGTCTATGATATAACTGAAAAACTGAACAATCTCCACATATCTATGTTTATTATATTATGTTAGAAACTCACTGTTTTCCTCGATTTTCGCCTAAATCTACCGAAAGATAGATTTCAGAAAAATCAGTTTAAATTTTTAACATACAATCGAATTTGGTATTATGAAACTTTCATCTTCAATGATTGATTCTCAAAGAACAACATAAATATGGATACGTTTTCCTTTATATCATCATTTGTTAGGCCCTTGGTTAAGAGCCATTTCGGAGACTGTAAAAGTTCAGTTGTATTTTTTTATTTTGCGTCCTCACACACTTATTATCTGTGATTTGTTTTTCGAAATCTGTGATAGTAGTAATGTGAGTGAATTGGGTTGACTGAGTAAAAGAATTATGCATCAGTATAATATTTAATAATATTCGATATCTAAGTTTCAGCTTATATCTGAACAGTGTGTGGTGTGAGCTACTTATAAGTAGTATATGACGTGAGTGTCAACGTAATGTCTGGCAGCAGAAGATGGGGGAAGATCAAGAAAGGAAGAGTTAGAACACAATGGGATTTGTATGAAACGCATGAATAGTGACAATGCATTGATGCTTTGCAACAGGAACAGTCCAGTTCGATATGATGAACTGATATTTTGCAAATTAATGATTACGATATGGTTTTCCGATTTTACTGAGTAACTCTGTAATTTTCGTTAACAACAATCTGGTTACCCCCACCTCTGTTCTCGTTCACTTCAGTATTTTGACGGTTTTACTATTTTGCGCCACATTTTGGAAACGATCTAAGTAAGATAACCAATGATACCTGAAAATACTGAACAGCTGCTTTCTCGTAGTATGAAACTCCTCAGAAGTACACATCCAAAATCCCTACACAGGAAGTCGAACCCAGTCTCTTGCACGTACTCAAGGTCTCGGCAAATGAGCCGAAATCCAATGGTATATTATTTTCTCAATCAGGAATGTCGACAAAAATGAACCAAAGTAATTCTTACAATAACCGCAACTAATTTTAAGCTCGTTCTTGACTAGTCAGGAAACAGTGAATAATTGATAATAATTACAATAATATTACATATCACTGAAATCATAAACTAACCTGACCAATAAGAGACCACCATTGTAAGCACTGGACAACCGTTTCGTCCTAATATGCTGCTCATCAGTAGTGCGCACCCACTACCTCAGGAGCAGGAATCGGATCCAAGACCTTTAGTCTCGTGCGCGAACATAGTTGACCAGCTCATGATTTCAATCAAGTTCAGCAATCTTCACAACTCTATACTAACAATATTACATATTCTAAATGATTAATGAAGTCTTCTATGTTTTTCCGTTTGCGAATTGGCAAAACACCAACATGTAAATTCATTCATATGATTGTATAATATTTATCTTCTCAAATGTCAATAAAGATGCAAATCGTTTCATTGGAATCCCCTATTATTTCTGATTCGGATAAAGCATTAGGAAGGAGGAATTCAGTTGATTTGCGTGGTATATGAAATCTACGTAGAAACTATTACAGATTTGATGAGTGCAAAACTATTGTTTATAATTGATGATAACTAAAATTTCCTCTATCATTTTAAAATTTCTGAACACTTTACAAAGTCTTTCTGCAGTTTGTTTTACTGCCTATAAAATGAATTATGGGAGTAGACCAACTCTTTTTCACTGTTCATTTAAATTGTACTGTCTAGCTTTATTTTTGTGTCAGTGCTGCCGGATAAAAAGTAATAAATGAGGTGAAAGTTATTGCTTGCAATGAAATTTTCACTGAAAATTCTACCCTCACCTACAGCATTCACTGACTAACAGACGAAAAAAAATTCATATCGAACATGAAGAAGTAGATTGACTAAAAATTCACGGATATCTACATACCGTAAGATAATAGTTGTCATTCTTGAATTTCAAGGGAAAGCTAAGATAAACGTTTTTTTTCAATCCTAGTTGACCCGTTTCTACATATTACTCTTTTACCCTAATTTCTACATCAATTTACTCTGAAACTGCTATAATGCGATGAATATTGAGCAAAGCTGAACTTTGTCAACTATTCTATCTGAAGTTGATTAAAAATATCTATGTAATTTATCATAAGAGCCTTTTTCTGGCAATACCGATGATTGAATTTC